CATCCCAGGGATGAATCCTACTTGATCATGGTGCACAATTTTTTTGATATGCTTTTTTATTCGATTCGCCAGGATTTTATTGAGGATTTTTGCATCTAAGTTCATTAGAGATATTGGTCTGTAGTTTTCTTTCTTTGAAGTGTCTTTGTCTGGTTTTGGGATCAGGGTGATGTTGGCCTCATAGAATGAATTTGGAAGAGCTCCTTCTTTTTCTATTTCTTGAAATAACTTGAAAAGTATTGGTATTAATTCTTCTTTGAAGGTTTTGTAAAACTCTGCTGTATATCCATCCAGTCCAGGGCTTTTCTTGGTTGGTAGTCTTTTGATGGCTTCTTCTATTTCCCCCTTTGTTATTGGTCTGTTTAAATTGTGTGTATCTTCCTGACTCAATCTGGGCAAATCATATGACTTAAGAAATTTATCGATATCTTCGCTATCTTCTATTTTATTGGAATATAGGGTTTCAAAATAATTTCTCATTATCTTCTGAATTTCTGTAGTGTCCGTTGTGATATTGCCTTTTTCATCCCGTATGTTAGTAATTTGAGCTCTCCCTCTTCTTCTCTTCGTTAGCATGGCTAAGGGTCTGTCGATCTTATTTATTTTTTCAAAGAACCAACTTTTAGTTTTATCAATTTTTTCAGTGGTTTTTTTTTGTTTCAATTTTATTGATTTCCGCTCTGATTTTTACTTATTTCTTGCCTTCTACTACATTTGCTGTTGTTTTGCTCTTCCTTTTCTAGGGTTTTGAGATGAAGTGTGAGTTCATTTATTTGTTGGTTTTTTCTTTTTTTGAGGAATGAACTCCAGGCGATGAATTTCCCTCTTAAAACTGCTTTCATTGTGTCCCATAGATTCTGATATGTTTTGTCTGTATTTTCATTTATCTCCAAGAATTTTTTGATTTCCTCCTTTATGTCTTCTGTAACCCATTGATCATTCAGTAACATATTGTTCATTTTCCAGGTGATGCAGGATTTTTCCTTCCTTCTTTTATCATTGATTTCCAGTTTCATTCCATTATGATCAGATAAGATGCATGGTATTATCTCCACACCTTTATATTTACTAAGAGTTGCCCTATGGCATAATATATGGTCTATCTTTGAGAAGGATCCATGTGGTGCTGAGGAGAACGTGTATCCACTTGATGATGGTTGATATATTCTATATATGTTGGTTAAGTCTAGGTTATTGATTGTGTTATTGAGTTCTATAGTTTCTTTATTCAGCTTTTGTCTGGAGGATCTGTCCAATGGAGAGAGCGTTGTGTTGACGTCACCCATAATTATTGTGTTGTGGTCTATTTGACTCTTGAACTTGAGGAGAGTTTGTTTTATGAACTTTGCAGCACCATTGTTTGGTGCATACATATTGATAATTGTTATGTCTTGTTGGTGGATGGTTACTTTTAACAGTATATAGTGTCCTTCTTTATCCCTTTTGATTGACTTAGGTTTGAAGTTGGTTTTATTCGATATGAGTATGGCCACACCTGCTTGCTTCCAAGGACCATGTGAATGGTATGATTTTTCCCAGCCTTTCACCTTCAGCCTGTGTATGTCTTTTCCTATCATATGAGTCTCCTGAAGGCAGCATATTGTTGGATTTGTTTTTTTAATCCAGGTTACTAGCCTATGTCTCTTGATTGGTGAATTTAAGCTATTAACGTTTAAGGTTACTATTGATATATGGTTTGTACTTCCAGTCATGCTTATTTATTTATTTATTTTAATATGGCTAGTTTTTGCTTTTTGGTTATTTTTTTTTCTTCCCTTTACTGAGTTACCTCCCACTGTGAGTTTTGGGTACTGTTTTTCAATTCCTCTTCTTGTAGTGTTTTGCTCAAAATGCCTTGCAGTGCTGGTTTTCTGGCTGCGAATTCTTTTAACTTTTGTTTATCATGAAATATTTTAATTTCATTGTCAAATCTGAAGCTTAATTTTGCTGGATACAGTATTCTTGGTTGGAATCCATTATTTTTCAGCGTTTGAAATACATTGTTCCAGGATCTTCTTGCTTTCAACGTCTGTGATGAAAAATCAGCCGTTAACCTAATTGGTTTACCCCTAAATGTAATCTGCCTCCTTTCTCTTGTAGCTTTTAATATTCTCTCCTTGTTCTGTATGTTGGATATCCTCATAATTATGTGTCTTGGAGTTGGTCTATTATGGTTTTGTATGTTTGGGGTCCTGTAGGCTTCCAGGATTTGGGAATCCATTCCATCTTTCATATCTGGGAAGTTTTCTAAGATTATTTCATTCAATAGATTGTTCATTCCTTTGGTTTGAACCTCTATACCTTCTTCTATCCCAATGACTCTCAAGTTTGGTTTTTTTATGACATCCCATATCTCTTGGATGGATTGCTCGTGATTTCTTAGCACTCTTTCTGTGTTGACTATATTCTTTTCAAGTTGATAAACTTTGTCTTCATTATCTGATGTTCTGACTTCTATTTGATCTAGTCTATTTGTAATATTCTCGTTTGAGTTTTTAATTTGGTTTATGGTTTTGTGCATTTCTAGGATTACTGTTTGATTTTTTTTTAAATCTCTATCTCCTGGGTGTTTTTTTTTGCCATTTGAATTTGCTTATGTAATTCGTTTTCAAAGTATACTTTCATTGTTTGAAGTTGGTGTCTAATGTCTTCTCTAAGATTCCGTTCCATCTGAGTTAGGTATGCCTTGAGTTCTTTCTCTGTCCATTTTTCTGATGCCTCTAGGTTCTCCTGTGAATTTAAGTTGTCCTGCATTGTTTGTAATCCTTTTTTCCCTTCTTTTTTCATGGTGCTCACGTTACTTTCCAACTCTGTTTGTCTGCTGTGTTTTTGTTTTCTCCTTTAAATTTGTTTTGGTTTTTATAGTTCCAATATCTCTTCTTTGTGTTTGGAGACAATGTTTAGAGATGTTGGATTTAATTGTGATTTAAGATAAATTCATTAGTTTCATTAACGGCCTACAGATTTTGATGGCATATAGAGAATTGAGGTTTGAACTTAGGATTTTATGTTGAGGTCGGGCGATTTGATGGTATGAAGGTTAGTATATGTTAGCTTCTTTGGGGGGTTGCTCAACTGCAGGCAGATATTAACAAGAGAATAGACAGGAGTACTTGGGGGTAGTTAAGGGCTTAGGCGGACTATAGACTGATTTGTAGTATTCATCTATTTGCATTTAGTAAGTTATACGTAATCTGGGTGGTCATGCTTAAGAGGAAAGATGGGGAAAAGGTAAGGAAGCAAACCAAGAAGTAGAGAGGGAGAGAAGAAAGAAAGAGAAAAGAATAGAAAAGAAAAAGAAATGATAAAAAAATGCAGCAAAATAAAAATTACAATTAAAAAATAATTTAAAAAAATTAAGATTAAAAAATTTAAAAAAGAAAGAAAAAAAATACACTGTTAAGCTTCTATTTTCTTCGCTTCCAGTAGGTGGTGCTGTGCCTTCCGGGCCAAGATTTTGCCCTCTGGCTGTAGGAAACAATCCATGTGAGGCCGCTCCCTCCTCACCCCCCCCCCCCCCCCTCCGTGTCTCTCAAAACCCGTTAGCTTAGTTTTATTCCTGGTCTCTAGTCTCCTCGCTTCTCCTGCCAGCCAGGCCTTCCCCAGTGTGATACCTCTCGGAAATTCAAGCTACACTCTGGGCCTGCAGTTTCCTGGATGTGGAGTGCAGCTATTGGGAACCGGCCCCTATTGTTTTGATTCCTTCCGATAGCCACTCCTCCGAGAGCTGGCGAGACAGGTTTCGTTTTCACCATTGGTGGGAGGGGGGAGTTGGAGGTCAGGTGCCTTTACCTTTCCCCACACCTCTGTTCACTCTCACCCTGTTCATCACGCCCCCAGAAAGCCTGGGAGAGATTTTATGCGATTTCCCCGCTGTATGGGAGATGGGCTAAATGGCACACACCTGTTTTATCGCTGAACTTGCTGTGATCTGTCGGAAACTGGCGATGGTGATGTCAGCTCTCCAAGATGGTGGCCACTTGCTTCTTCGGTGGGCTGTTCGGTGTGGAGGACAGAACTGGACCGCTTCCTTCCCCATCTCAAACCCAGAACTCAGCCCAAAGCACAGTGAGGGCACAGCCAGCAGGAACCCACAGCATCTGCACATCCTCTGCGTTGCTGACACACCGTTTTTTGGTGTGCCACAGTCTCTAGCAGTGGGGCGGGCCACTGATAAATCAGCCTGAATCTCCGGGCACACGATTCACTTGCGATTGAGCCCCAGTAACTGATCCTTGGGTGATGGAAATCCTTCTTCTAGGTTTTGGTGCACCCCAATTTTGCTGGAAATTCCTAACAAGATAGCTTTTGGCCTTTCTAACTCGTTATTCACCTGCGCAGTGACGAGTACATGGGGGTGATGCACTCTATTCGTCACCATCTTCCGGTCTTTAATAATTAGAAATAGATCAGATTAGTTTGAAATGAGCTGTATATCTGATTAAATGTGAAAGTAAATGACCAGCACCTGTTTTTCTTAAATTACCTTCTAAAACTATTATATCATGTAAAGTAACAGCACACTAATCTAAGTTCCTGACAACACTCTGCTATGAATTTTAGCTCTTGGACAGTCACTAAAATGCTTAAAAGGCTTCAGTTTTCCTACAGGAAAAATCAGAATATTGGGTTTGATTGACATTTAAAACTATGCTACTCTATTTGGTGCCTAGCAAGTCTAAATAACTTTTAGCTGAGTGAATGAGCTCACGAATGAAACTTGAACATGTGGATTGCTACCGACTTAGGAAGATTTGGTCTTTCTCAGTAAAACAGCTAGGCTACTGACGTTCTCTCTGTTGTTTGTTTTATTTTGTTGATGTGTGTGTGTGAGTAATTCCATAAGCAAAAGAGATAAATTCCCTGGCTCACGATCTCATGGCAGAAGGTCTCTTATCCCTCATATACAAGATTTTATAACCCAAGCTCACTGTCTTTTAACTGCCTGCCTATCTGATTCTGCTCTTTATCACTCATTGTTTTGTTTCATCTTTTTTCAGACTGATATTTATGGACTGGCAAAGAAGTGTAACTTGACGGAGCGCCAGGTGGAAAGATGGTTTAGGAGTCGGCGGAATCAAGAGAGGCCTTGCAGGTTGAAGAAATTTCAGGAAGCCTGGTAAGAATGATGATCAAAGCTGTTGCAGTTCTGCAGAATTGTGTGGAGCAGAGTAGTCCTCTTAGGATACTAACATTGGAGTGGAGGAAGGGTTCAAACCAGCTCTGTTATGTCAGAGTGTTATGCCTGCTCCTTTCCCTTCTGTACTTCCATTCCCTACTCTCTGAAATGAACCAGCTATGAATTCTCTAAGGTAGACAGGAGACACTAAATACTTAGAAAAATAAATACCAAAAAAAAAAAAAAACCAGATAAGAGGTAAGATATGTCTTACTTGGTGTTGTCTCTTCTAGAGCTGAGGTTGGTACTAGGTCACAGGCTTTTCTCCTGTTTCCAGTCACTATGATAGTAGGAGGAAAGGAGGTCTCAGAACATATCCCAGTGTGTTTCTCAGGACACTAACTGTGAGGACCTCTTTCTGTCTGACTTAGTTCATGAGCCCAGCCCTGCCTGTGGATTGCACAGCCTGTGCCTCTTGGATCCCAGATGACTTAGCAGGAGGGTCAGGATGGGCTGGGGCTCAAGCATGGTTTACCTAGAATAGTCTCCAGGCAGGGAGGCTCCACTGGATTTATTTTTTCTTTCCTTTGAGTTCTGCTGTGTTTTCCCCCTCGTATTGTAGCACTTTGGGTCACTCTCTTGGTGGCAGAAACTGCCCCATAAGGTGGTCTCAATCAATGCTCGTACTATCTCCTCTTCTCTATATCCAGATGAATGTATATTAGTTGGTTTGTGTCTGCTACCACATTTGACACTGCCTGTTTCTTTCTTAAGGCCTTTACATTTTCTAGTGACTTCTACCAGGTAATTTTATTTTGATGTTAAAATAAATGACTGGCCAAATTAAGAATCAAATAAATAACTGGAGCCTGTGGCAAAACTTCAATGACTTCATTTAATTTCTCTATACATTCCTGGTCTGTAATCCAACTGTAAGTTGGCCAGTGTCTAGAGGGACAGATCCATTCTTCAGGGTGTCTCTAAACACCCTCTTTCTGGTCAAAGGCTTATACTGCCTTTCCTGCAGTGATTCCCGTGCATGGCGTTGCTATTTCTAACTGGCTTCTCTCTGGTTTTTAGCTTTTGAAAAATTAGTTACTGCTTTGCCACTGATGTCAGGTTGACACAAAGGATATCTATAACTCATCACCACAAAGAAGGGCATAGTAGATGCCATAGGTCTCATATGGCATCCTCCTTTTTCCCTTCTGACATTCATTCATTATTGCTAACAGATGATTTTTATCTTAAAGTGCCCAGGCTGGGACTCATTCTCTGTTTCTGAGCTGAATCATATTCCAGTGAAATTCTCTGGCAATTTCTTATGCATTATAGTGCCTCGCAGTTTATGAAAGTGTGTTTGATTCTCCCAGCAACAGGGGCTTATTATGTTTGAGAAATGAGAAACTGCACATCCATCTAGCTTAAGGAACTGGCTCAAAGTTACCTAGCTGTCTGAGGAGCTGTTGTGTTCAAGTCTTCTCTCTCCTATTCTGATATAATTTCTGCTGCCTCATACTGCACCTGCCACCTCCTGCCTTCTTCTCACCAAGCAGAGCATACCCTACACAGAGTAACATTTAGAAATTTGGAAACATTTGGGCTGTGCTCTCCATTGGAAGATGTTCACAGAGTTCAGGCTAGAGAAGGGAATTTCAAGTTACCTTAACCAGTCAGTCAGGTCATACAGAGGTTCATGTTGAAGATCTCAGCATGGAGTACTATCCTAGAGTGTATAGTGGTGTAGATTTTATGAGGGAAGTAAACATGTAAGGCCTGTTCCCTAGCCCTAACCAGCTGACTGGGGAGACCTGACCATTACCCATAATGCCATAATACCTATTGTTATTCCACTCCAGCAATGCAGGACTGTACACCAGCAGGTTCATGGTCACGTTTAGATGTACTCTGGGACTTCAGAGGGGGGTGTCAGCATATCAGCAGCATTAGACAACAGCTTTTCAGAGTAGACAAAACCTTTTTATCTGAACCTTGAAGAATGGGTTGAGTTTCCATAAGAAAAGAAAGCAGGATTTGGGGATGGAATTTTCACATAAAGCAAAGATGCAAAGCAGGAAATTATCTAATATGTTCAGGAAACAGTGAACCCACAAGTAAAATTTAAGCTTTATCTTATTTAGCAATATCACAAATTTATTCTATCAGATAACTGTTAAAAGTTGATTATGAACTGTGTAAATAGATGAAGGTAAAATGCCAAGCTGTTTAATTTTTACTATTTTTCTATTAATTTCTGGAATGTACCTCAGAAATCAGTGCCTGAGGTACTAGCCCAGACATTTTGGAAATCTCAGGAAACCTGTATTTCCTAACATTTTTAACCTCTTACAAATTACTCTCCAACAGACAGAAAATCCTGTTGGTGCTCTCCATAATGTCTAAATACATTAATCTCTGAGCACCCTGAGCTCAGTTAATTGTTTCCATGATTATTTCCTTTAGTGGTAACCCCTGTGTCCCATGCCACAGCATTCAAGATTTTAGTCCACAGAGGGTCCTTTAAAAAATTTAAATTCCATATTACCTGGACATCTTTCTTTTTAAAGTAAGCATTTCCATCTAATAATAAGAAGCAACTCCAAAGTACCCAAGGTTTATAGAAAGAATACCCAGTGCCAGAGGGAGGACTCTCCAGGTGGCTGTTAACTCACCCTTGCCTGACCACACAGGTACACTGCCTGCTCCATTCTACCTCTCCCACTACAGAGTCCCATCCTGCCCCACCTGGCCTCACCAGCTTCTTTCACCATTGGTCTAAATCCACACTGCCCATTTTCTCTGATTTCACTCTGCAGTTCCTTCTTCTCCTACTATTACCAGCTTTGCCTAATGGATCAATTTCTGAATTTTTCTAGTGGTTTTTCCTTCCCTCCCACAATTATGTTTATATAAGCCTCTCCTGGGAATAAGAAGTAACCAAATAAACCAAGTAAAATTGCATCAGCAAGTACATCATTATTCATGTTATCATCCATGAAGTGCAGTAGTTCTCAAACTTCTCCATCCAGGATTCCATGTTCTCTTAAAAATCCCAAGAACTTAATTAGTCAGACATTTACTGTATTAGACATTAAAATAGACATTTATAAAATATGAGACTGCATGAACACACTTTTCACCAGTGTAGTTTCATTCAGAACAACAATATGATCACATGTCATGCAACCTCTAGAATTTACCACTGCAGCCTTGTGAGAGAATGAGAGCCAAAGGGGGAAACACTGTTTTAGTATTATAAAAATATTCTGACCTCAGGGATCCCTGGTGCACACTTTGAAAACCTCAGGTATGGTGTGATGAAACCTGAGTAGAACTGGTCCAGAAAACTGTGAAACTTGGGTTGCACTCTTGCATCTGATTATTATTATTTAATAACCTTGGTGACTTACATGATCTCACTCAGCACCAGTTTCCTTTAGTATTTATCTTATCTACTTTTTAGGGTTGTGAGAATCAAGCAATGGTCTGCGAGAAGTGGCTAATTATAGTATCAACTTCATATTCTTGTTAAAATAAATGTTAAAATCTTGATAAAAATGTGATAACATGTGCTTGGCATAGTGCCTGGCACAGACTCAAGATGTCAATAAATGTTTGAGATACAAAAGATTTGCCACCTAGACCTTTGGCTGCATTTGTGGGCTGTCTGGCCTTATCATCTATTTTTTGATTCTTGTCTGGACAAGATAACCCAGGGAGCCAAAGAAATGCTGTCTAGGCCAAACACAAAGATGACAAGTGCAGACAGGTTTCAACTCTCATTTTGTAAAATGCCCTTTGAGTATTTTTATGATTCAACTTTCTGAGCATTGAAATCTACTTTTTTTCTCCTATGAAAACAAGCTATGAGGGGCTGGGGCTGGAGCTCAGCAGTAGAGCACTCGCCTAGCTTGTTAGAGGCACTGGGTTAGATCCTCAGCACCACATATAAATAAATAAATAAATAAATAAATAAATGTATCATGTCCAACTACAACTAAAATATACATATATATTTAAAAAAACAAGCTATGGAGAAAGACTATGATCTAATTCAGAGGCGATGATAAAGTTCAGGAAACACTACTAAATGCAGAGTCCAAAGACTTGTGATTATAGCCTCAGCTTTATTATTTCTTACATGAACTGAGAAAGTAGCCTGGCTATAATGAGACTGATTTTTCATCTACAAAATCAGTATATGCTTATGTCCCTATTTCCTACCTGTCTTACAGGGATATTGAGGAAAACACTGTAAGGCCTCACTCAAATTTATTTTGGTATTATTATTGCTTCAGCAATCATTAGATAAAATAGCCATAACTTTTAAAAAAATATTTATTTTTTAGTGGTAGTTGGACACAATACCTTTATTTTATTTTATTTATTTTTATGTGGTGCTGAGAATCAAACCCAGACCTCACATATGTGATGTGAGGTGAGCACTCTACGGCTCAGCCCCAGCCCCAGCCCTGCCATAACTTTTAGTATAAGCTTTTTTTTCTTTTCTTTTTTTTTTTCAGAGAGAGAGAGAGAGAGAGAATTCCCAGCCCTGCCATAACTTTTAGTATAAGCTTTTTTTTTTAGAGAGAGAGAGAGAGAGAATTTTTTAATGTTTTTTTTTTTTTTTTAGTTTTCGGTGGACACAACATCTTTTTTTTTACATGATGCTGAGGATAGAATCCAGAGCCCCGTTCATGCCAGGCGAGCATGCTACTGCTTAAGCCACATCCCCAGCCCCAGTATAAGCTTTTTGTTTATTTTGGAAAGTTGCAAACATATACAAAAGTAGAAAGACTACATAATGAACTATGACTGCTACTACCAATCACCAACTTCAACAATCAACTCAAAGCCAATATTATGCTATCTAAATACCTCCTCAGGCTACTCTCCCCAGCCACAGGTAATTTTTTAAGAATATGTCAGGCACTGTGTGGTTTAACTACTAAGTCTGTTATGGTGTATCTCTAAAAGGGAAGAACTCTTTATTTTAAACATAAGTGAAAAACCACTATCATACTAAAATAATTTTAATTTGCAAACAGATATTTAATGAGTGTTTGGATTTCCTTCATTGTCTTATAATTTTCTTTACAGATTGTTTATTTGAATCAGGATCTAAATTTAGATTCATATGTTGCTATCAGTTGATGTCTTTTAAGTTCTTAATATGTAAAGCTTTCCCCATACATGAGAAAACTATTTTTTTTTCAAATTCTGATTTTAAGAAAAAAGAGTAAAGTCTGGCCACATGCAAGTTTTTCAAGTAGGAATTAAATGGGAATAAAACAGGTTACTTTTTAAACTTTATTTTATTTATTTATATTTTTATGTGGTGCTGAGAATCAAACCCACGCTTCACACATCCTAGGCAAGAGCTCTACCACTGAGCCACAACCTCAGCCCCTAAAATAGGTTATTAAGCTAATTAGATTGCTTCTCTCTACGTTGATGACAATTCATTATTTTTTATGTATCCAGAACTGGCCTAGTCATAATAATAAGTAGCTAATATGTATTGTTGCTTACTTCATACTAGAACCATGATCAATACTTTTGTAAATTATCTTTAATTTATTTTACATTTTGGGGTAAGTTTTGTTATTCCCATTATACAGATGAGGAAGTTAAGACTTCCTGAGGTGAAATGATTTACCTAAGGTTGTAGATATATAATAAATGGCAGAGCCAGGATATGAATTTAGATTTCTTTGACTCCAGAATGTATGTTCTTCCAAACTCTGTCATACCAAATCCTTTTCTTCTCAGATGTCAATCATGTTTATAAGGGAGTAAAGACTTTTTTTTTCTTTTGGCAGCTGGAGATTTGCATTTTACTTAATGATTACTGTTGCTGGAATTGCATTTCTTTATGATGTAAGTTTCCTTTTTGATATCTTTGGTTGGAATCTGCCTTTAATTTCTAAAGTTTCTGCCTATGAATTCCTTTAGGATATAATACCTCCAGTTAGATAACCAGATTTAGAGCTTTCTCTTGAAATTCAAGACTTTGCTCAAATATTTTATTGGTATGGATGTCTCAAGATATTTTTATTGCTATAGACACAGTAATTGAATCAGAAATAACTTAGTAGATTCACTTGTTCAAAATAATTCCCTCAATGAGATAGCACTATTTACTGATCCCAGATTCATTAGAAGCAGTGAATTTGGTGGGGGTGTCATATAGGAATATGGATAAATACCTAGACAGGGAGAACTGTGTACAACAGAAGCAATAAGAATATACAAAGTCGAGTTTTCCTGTGCAGTGTATCTTTGCCCCCAGTAAATATCAGGGATAGCTGTTTTCTGTTGAAATTAGCCTTTGACTCTGACAAATTTATTTCTTCTCTCCTGGCTTCCTGTTTTTGTTTTTTTTTTTCCAGAAACCTTGGGCATATGACCTCTGGGAGGTTTGGAATGGCTATCCCAGACAGGTAAGACCCCTTTAATATAGCTCCTCCCCTTTTCAACACCCAGTCCCCCAAAATTGCCCCTTAGGTCTTAGTCCTCTTTCTACTATTTGCCCACTACCGTGCCATCATCAGCTCTTTCTCTACCTGGGTTTCTTCATTCTTGGTGACTCATCATTTGTCTCATTCCTTAGTTTTTTCACAGGTTAAATGAATGATGTGTTTAGATTTAAATATTCCATTTTACCATTTGTTTTTATTTGTATCCACTCGATCCATTTCCTTTTGTATTCCCATCTTGCTTTTCTGTGGGACAGTTTGTTTTTTTTAAAATACAGTTCTGTATCTTTTCTTCTTACCTTTACTTACTTTATTTATTTTTTGTTTTTATGTGGTGCTGAGGATCAAACCCAGTGCCTCACAAGTGCTAGGCAAGTGCTCTGCCACTGATCTACACCCCCATCCCCACATTCAAGTTTTTTAAAAAGTTGCTATCCCATTTCTTCCCTTCTGTTGACTTTTCACTGCTTTTTAATTCTTTATTAGTTATCCTATCCTAGAGATTACAATATACAAATATACATCCTTGACTAATTGGAGTCTAATACAAATTAGAGCTCTGTTTTTTTTTTTGGTTTTTTTTTTTTCGGTTATTGAAAAGTCATTAGAATATACCATTTACTTTCCTGCTTCAAATGTTTGGAGCTCTGCATTTATTTTTATTATTGTTTTGTAAATCAGTCAAGTTATTCTTTTCTTGGTATCCATTACTATCTGCATTGCCATGCTTCCATCTAGGATTATTATCCTTCTAGTTGAAAAAGAGTCCCTTTGGTATTTTTTTAACAGTCGGTCTGCCAAATTTTGTTTGGCTAAAAATTGTTGTATGACCTTTGATTTTTAAAGGACATTTTGCTGGGTACAGAATTCTAGGCTAGCAATTATTTTTCTTCAACACTTCAAAGATGTTATTTCATTTTCTTCTGGATCCCATTGGCTTCTTTAAGAATTTACCTGTCATTTTTACTTTTGCAAAGAAGCAAAAAGAAAATAATGTCTTTTTCCTCTAGCTGATTTTAACATTTTATCCTATCTTTCAGCAGTTTTATTATGATATACATAGATATAGTTTTCTTTGAACTTTTCTTGCTTAGTGTCCATCTTTCTTAGTACATTTGCAACCTGTGCTTGATGTATTTTTTTGTAAAATTCTTAGCCATTGCTTCTGTTCCTTCTTTTCTCTCCGATCTTCTGGAATTCAAATTACAAGTGTGCTAATATACTGGACCATTAAACTGGGCCTCATATATCTCTTATGCTTTTAAAAATATTTTCCATCCTGTTCACTTTCTTTGCTTCAGTCTCTTGAGAGAATATCTCCAGTCTTATGGATTTTTGCATGTCACGTGAAGTGAAGCACTGTCTTTTGTTCTAGACTAATTTTTCAGGGATGTTTGTATAGCAAACAGTCGCAAAATATAGGGATACTCTTTTCAGAGAAAAGAGAAACATGCTACTGTTCATCAAGAAAGAATTAGGTCCCCTAGCTCAGGGTTCCTCTCATGTAACACAATTTACTGTGTATGCCATTGTCATTTGGTCCTCTTTGTTTAGTCTTATGGAAACTGAGGATGGAATAAGTGGCCCAGATACTGATAGTCTGACTACTGCTATTACTGTCAATCATAAACTATACTTTATCTCCTGCCTTCTATTAGCAACCAGGAAACTTGTGGCAAATCAACCTGTTAGCATGAAAATGGGTTAAAATTTCAGGTACTTTACAGTTGGGTCTTTTTTATACTTTCATGTCCTCCAGCTTACTGCTTTTACCAGCAGTGTCTAATCTGTTGATAAACACATATTTTGAATTCACAGTTACAGTTACTGTATTTTTCAATTCTCAATTTTTTATGTAATTATTTTTATGGGTTTCAGTTCTCTACAGAAAATTTCTCTTTTAGCCTGTTTTTTCATGTTATTTTGGATATAAATCAGATAAGTCTAATGTGTTCACATTTGGATCTGTTTTCTTTCTTGCTCCTGTCTCCTTCTCCTTTATAGCTTTTGAGCGACAGACATTGGATATTTAAACATAGATGGTCAGGATGATATTTTCCTTCTAAAAGTATTATTTTCACTTCTGTTGGGCATTGAAGTATGTCATGTGATTGATCTACTTTTGTGTGGACCACAATCTTTGTGCGGATAGGTGTGTTTCCAGCTTACCCATAAATTTCACTGTTTTCTTCAGTGGTTTTAAATAGAAGAATACAGTGTTTACCATGACTTCTTTTCCTTGGGTGGCCTGAACACCAGTTTACCTCCTAGTACTGTGAGATTATCAAAAATCCTCCTTAACTTGTGCTGCCTTTTAGTTTCTGGCCTCCATAACTGCTTATAAATTGTCATATGCAGACTTTGTGATATGCATAAAAATGATTTTCTTTGAATTTATTCTGCTTAGCCTTTGTAGTACTTTATAAAATGTTTTCTTGAAATAAAACTTTTACTTTAATGCGTTTTTCTTTTCTTTGGGGGTCTTTACTCCATAGGTTCCGGATGCCTTGGTTGCTCTCATATACCTTCAAACAGATATTCCCTTTTTTTCCTTTTGTTTATATTTTTAAGTATTTTTCACTAAAGTTAGTCATAAAAGGTTCATTTGTCATAAAAAAGAAGAAACTAAATTTGTTTATGATCTTATCGAGGATGATGAGTTCATCATGGATAAAATAAATAGTCTTTTTAATGTGTTAGCTTCAGTGTTAAAAAAATCAAAGAAGGTTAGACCAAAAGAAACCCAGGCATTATCTAGACTATAACCCAGTATTATCATCTTCCATCTCTAACTTTCTCTTATCTTCTCGGGTGTATCAATCATCTTGATATATAATAAATGATCCCCAAACTTGGTGCCTCAAACAGTAAGCATTTATTTGGTCATGATTTGGGTTGGCAATTTAGGTTAGGCTTAGGTAAACATGTCAGCTGAGTTCATCCCTGAATTTTCAGTCAGTTAGCGGCTGACCCTCATTCATGTTTTTCTCAGTCATCCCCTTTATTCTCTTCTTTGCAGCCTCTCCAGCAAGATAACTAAGGTTTCTTAAGGGTGCTTATGAAGTCTGTGCTTCCATCCCTTTGGCTTATATCCCTTTGACTAAAGACCGGGATCAAGTCCATAGTTAGTGTAGGAGGGAACCACACAAGGTCTGGATACCAAAGTCAGCATTCTGGTTGGGCATCAAGGTAACAATCAGTCATACCAAGTAATAGATTGCCTCAACTTAGCTAAAATAAGCATCCCCTGCTGTACAAGTATTAAGAGAAAGCCTAGCAGTGAAAGTTTATTTCTTAATTTTTTCAGAAGTTTTAGAGTCCTTAAGTAAATGTGCATACTTTATTACTATCCCATTTGAGAATGGATGAATTTTGACCACCAGACTATCACCAGAAAAGATAAATTCTCAGTAGTATTTAGGAAACATTAAACAAGGAGAAGCATAGGAGGAACAAAACAGATTTCCCATTGTTCTTAAGTAAATATTTTTATAATTGATTTTCTAACTTAACTTCATTTAGTTAATATAAGACAATTACAATGAGTTTTATGAACTATTTATATAAAACATTTAACTTGATTTTGGAGTGCTTCTCTACCTTTTTAGAAATAAGTCACTTTGAAATATTGCAAATTTGTTTCTGTAAGTTGAAAAAAAAGAAATATATATCAACATTACTTAGGAAATTTTTTGGACTATAAATTTATCAAAATAAATCGTTGACAAGATGACATTTAATGCAATGATTACTTTCCTTTTCCTCAGCCATTGCTGCCATCCCAGTATTGGTACTACATTTTAGAAATGAGCTTTTATTGGTCTCTGTTATTTAGCCTTGGCTCTGATGTCAAGAGAAAGGTAAGTGTCTTATTTACAAAATTTCTTCTATATAAGTTTCCTCAAAAAATTTTATCCTTCTCCTCAAAATTCTAATTTTTTTAAATTGTATTTATTCTGGTTCATTTCTTTTGCTTTTGATAATACATGAAATAATGTAAATTATGCCCTGCTTTTGTGCCTTGGTAAATATTTTCAGTGAAACCCTATTGAAGCTTTAACTTTGAAGCCCCACCCCATTCAATAAGACAAGAAATTTCTTTTATGTTATCTGTTTCTTTTGATTTAGAAATTTAATGCTTTTAAAGCACAAGAAAAAAAGTTAGTTTTCATTCCACAGCCACATCTCTTAGTTTTACTTTACATAATACTTTCTGAGTTTTTCCCTGAATTCATCAGACATTCTTCTTGGGAAATTTTGCTTCAAGCATTATTAACTTTATTTTATGTTCATAGAAACTGAGTCACAGCCATCCAAATGCCTCTTCTGAAGTCACAAAGTGATGAATTTCAGGGAATGTTTGGTTGAACTTTTTGCTGGTCCAACAAACCATTTATTTTATTGTGTTTTATTATTTATTTAGTTTTTTTGGTAGTTGGAATTGAACCTAGGTGTGCTCTACCACTGAGCTACATCCCCAGTCTTTTATTTCCTTTGAAACAAGGTCTTGCTAAGTTTCTGAGGCTTACCTCAAACTTGTGATCCTCATGCCTTAGCCTTCCAAGTTGCTGGGATTACAGGTGTGCCACGATGCCCTGCTCAAGCAAACCAATTTAGACCCTGAATGCAGTCACAAGAATTCCTCATATGTAAGCAACACAGATCAAATGATAAAACTCTTGGCCTATGCAAAAGTCTGGTTTGTAACAAAATTTGATAAATAAAATTAAGTTTAATTCAATATTAGGTAAAATGAAGTTGGCTTGATTAAATGCTTATGGTGAGTGATGGATGTTACCCATCACTAGGGGGCATACTGCAGTCAACTAGACATCTTCAATTAAAACAGATTCTCTATATGTAAGAACACAGTGTGAAAAAATCTGATAGAAATTATTTCCATTTCCATATAACTCAATAGTAGCTATAGATTAACTGTTGCTAATTTTAGGCTAATAATATATACAACTTAATTGGTTCTTTTTCTTAAGGATAGAATAAAATAGTTTTTTTAAGAAGATTTTCCTAGATACATAGGTTGATCCTATTATAATCCTTTATTTCTTCTACCTTTGATTTGATTATAATTAAAATTAAGTATATGTTTTATGTTGGGTAAACTCATACCTTTAGAGACAAAAGAACTACTAGGGGATGGCTGAAGCACACCTCTGCAGTCAGTTGCCTGGGTTTGAATCCCTGACTTTATGACTCACTAACATATTGGTTAAAATCCCTACACTTGGGTCTAGGCTTGTAGCTCAGTGGTAGAGCACTTGCCTAGCACTTGTGAGGCACTGGGTTCAATCTTCAGCACCACATAAAAATAAATAAATAAAATAAAGGTATTGTGTCCATCTACAGCTAAAAATATTTTTTAAAAATCCCTAAACTTGGTCTCTTCATCTATAAAGTAGAACTAAAAATAGTTCCTATCTCCTCTGGTTGTTGTGAGGATTACATAAAACAATTCCTGGTTTTCAGCAATTGCTCTATAAATCTGTTATTAGTGTCATACTGAGTCTTTTAGTTTGGCTTCAGGGAAACTGAAATCTTTGTTTTTTTAAGCATCTTTATTGAAATAGTCACCAAATACCTCAACCATTTTAAACATGTAATTTATTGGATTTTAATATGTTCCCATTTGTGAAATCAACTTTTTTACCACCTCTGAAAGAAACCTTGTACCCTTTAGCAGTCACTCCCTGTGTCTCTCAGCCACTGGCAACTGCTAATCTATCTCTGTGGATTTTCCTTTCATGGATATTTCACATAAACAGAATCATACAATATTTGGTGATTTTTGTGTCTGAAGCCTTTTACAAAGCATAATATTTCAAGGTTTGTCCATATTCTGTTGTTTATGTGTCAGACTTCATTAATTTTTATTGCTGCATAATTGTCCACTCTTTGGATATACCCCATTTTATTCATGTTTCAGTTGATAGACATTAGGGTTGTTTCTTCCAATTGACTCTATAAGTAATCCTGTGAATATTCATAAAGAAGATTTTACATGAACTTATGCTTTTATTTCACTTAAAAGTGAAATTGCTGGGCAAGATAATTTTATATCAAACTTTTTGAGAAACTGCCTGCCAGACTGTTTAAGAAAGCCACTGTGCTATTATATATTCCTTGTAACAGTGTACAAGGTTCTGAATTCTCTATATCCTTGTAAGCACTTGTTATTGCACATCATTTTTTATAGCTATCCTAGTGAGTGTGAAATGATACCTCAGTATAGTTTTGATTCACATTTCCCTGAAAATGAAGGATGTTGCACATCTTTTTGTGTGCTAATTGGCTATTTGTACTTCTTTGCAGAAAATCTCTTACGTTTTTATGCTCAGTGGTGGTAGCTTTCCTTAACCTTGATTTTTCTGATATGGTTATTCCAAATTCATTTGTTACTTATTTCATATGCAGTTACTTACTTTAATGGTTGTATAGTTTTATTATATCATTTTTCCCTTTTGGAATTAAACAAGGAATATACAATACATGTGAATGTACACAAGGACATTCTTTTGTATGTGTATTTGTTACGTGTGTGTGCATCTCTGTATGGGTACACGTATGTCCAGTGTGGGGCAGTAGAAAGAATAGCAGATGATAGGGATTAGATGACAACTATTCAGTGCTGTCTAAAACGTAAATAACTTTGTCAATGAAGATAATACTTGGCCTAGCTTCCTCACAAAGATTGTGTTTAAAAATTAAAGTGAAAGTGCTTTATAAATTTCAAAACATGCAGATGCAGGTTATTGGTATTATTATTATCATTATCATGTCCTCCAGTGATTGGGAAATGACTGCATTTGCTTAATGGCCTGTATTTTCCTCTTGTTATATAGGATTTTCTAGCTAATGTCATCCACCACCTGGCTGCTATTAGTTTGATGAGCTTTTCTTGGTGTGCTAATTATATTCGCAGTGGGACCCTCGTGATGATTGTGCATGATGTAGCTGACATTTGGCTGGAGGTAAACATTTGCCTTTAAAAAAATATATTAACAATACCACTCCTGGGTTTCTGTAACTGCTCACAGAAAGAATTATCTGTGCACTATTTAGTAGGGCTCTTTTTGAAAACACCTAAAGTCTGAGAATGTCTCTGGGTTCCTAGATCCTTCAATATGAAAGAAATCAAACCTCTTGGTTTTCATTTTCTAGGCTTCTCCATGGTGCAAGTGAAAGGTTAATTTGTGGGATTCCACTTATGAAAGTTGCATGCTAATGCTAGCTCAGGGAGTAAGACGACATATTTGAAGAAGGAACAAACTTTAACCTTTTAGAAGGAATATTTGGATTTATGGTACTCTGGATTCTCAAAGTTGTAAGGCACCATCTATCCATTTAAGCCAATGCTTGAGTACCCCATTCTTCAGCCAAAATAATTCCTTGCTTTAAGGAAGGCAAGCTGATATTTTTTAAAAGTCATCATTTTCTAAAAGAGAAAAAGCGGTTAGGGTATTTTCTGAAGCAGAAAACCTTAAGACAAGAGTCTTCCTTATCCCATACCACATAAAATATGAGGAACAAAGCAACATTAGGACAGTTTTCTTGACCTGTTTCTGTGATACATCAGTTCCTGTTGACCTTAAGGCTGTTACTGAAGGATCCTCTCACTGCCAGATCTCCTGCTGTATTTAGAGCAACATTTCCCAGAACCTCTTAGTTATTCACTTCAATATACTCATTTATAATGAACCCAGGGAAAATGATGCTAACCTATTTTGGTTCAGGATTGCTCCTTGGAAGGCTAATAACTAAATATAGGTTGATATGGAAGAAATTAAATTTAATAGACTCTTATTCTTCTTGATTGGAGTTCAGCAAACTTTTTGGTAAAGGGCCAGGTAGTAAATCTAGTTTTGTGGGCTACATGTGATCTCTGTCACATATTCTCTTTGTTTTTTGTTTTTTTTTCGTGAGTTTTTTATACCCCTTTAAAAATAAGAAAACCATTCTTAAGGTTTGACCAGCTTTAGCCCATTGGCTGGACTGTAATTTGCCAAACCCTATTTGAGAAGTAACCAGAAGTCATTTGAAGCCTTTTCAAAGCACTTGGTTACAGTTAAAGTATTCTCTGTGTACTGAATGTTGTTTCTACTTTGTCCATAATTGTAATTAGATATGTAAATCCCATTCTGAGGGTCAAAATTATTGGCCATTTACTTAAGGCAATAAATGGCTTTGAACAAGAACGATTGGGACAGATTTTTCATGAGTTACTGTCTGACTGTAGCCATTTCTGTTATAATTACCTCCTTCTCTGATCATGTCTCAGTAACCCTGACTGAAAATGAAGACCACATTGATCGGGACTTAAGACTTTTATCCTAGTCTGTGACTTCTATAGACGGTACCAGCCTAATGCACTGTTTTGCTCTTGTTCAATTGCCTTTAATGTATCTCCAGTACAACAACACTTTAACTGTGTAATTAAGGAGAGTTATATGTTCAAACTAAGAATAAACACTGGGGTTTCCCCTCACCTTCCTCTTTCCTGTCACAGACACAGCATAACTCCCTAAGAGACTTGGGCAAATCATGTGTTATTTGCTTTCTACCCCAGCTGTAACATGAGAAGTCATATCTATCCCTTAGGGCATATTTTGAAGTTTAGCTCATTACTTTTGAAATGTTCTGAAGTTCTTTAGTTAAAAAAAAACACAGAAGAAAAATGAAATGTCAAACCTAGAGGTCCTTTCATGGGTAAAAAAAAGAACAGCTTCATGTTGTTAATGATCATGAATCATTTTTGATTCACAAGTCATGATTTTACTTGAGGTTCAGTGCATAAGGCTGGTACCTTCCATCAACAACTAGTGGTAGAGACAACATTAAGTGGTGGCAGGGGCCCATTTTCTAATATTCTCCCAAGGACGTATACTCCAAGGCTTCCTTGGGTAGTCATGTTAGTACTTGTCCTCTCAGTCAAGTTCTAATTGAACCCAGACATGGTACCACTTTTGCCCATGTTTAGACCTTCCTTAAGATGGAGCCTATTAATCTTTCATATTCTTCAATACATTTGGTGGTACATTTCTTGTCTCTTTTCTTTTTTTTGCAAGAAAAAACATATTCCACTTCTACAATTCTTATTCATATATAAGAATATATATCTTATTCATATATAACAACCTTTTGCTTTCTCCATACATCTTCCTGTTCCTCTTTAGTTTTCCCCAGGTCCAAGTTTGTATCTAGGACCCAACACTTTAATATATCTTGACTAATATTTAGCAGAGACGAGGGTCTGTCATCTAGTATTTGATCGTCCCACAGTCTAGAATGTGTTGTGCTTATTTTTGCCCAAGAGTGCTGCATTGCCCTTACAAGTGGGCTTACAGAGATTCCCACTCCTATGCACATCTCTAGATTCCCATGCTGGCCTGGCCTCTGACCTTTCAGACAGATACCCACTCCATTCCAGTCACTCCAAACTTCTGGTCTTTGTCCTCGCATCTGCCTCCCACCTAACCAGGTGTTCTAGCCTTCCATGTCAGCAGCTGGAGCTAATCCCTATGGGGCTTCTGCTAACCTCACAGGCTGACCATATCCTAACCCCTGAGTAAGTAGGAAAAAGCATGGAAAATACAACATAAAACCTTCCTGGAGCATACATATGTTGTCTGTCTTGTTTAAGAATGAGCTTGAGCCTCCCAGGCAATATCAGTTCTGAGTTGAAGCCTTTGCTTCCCAGAGGATGGTCTGCATCCCAGCAACTGCTTCCCATCCCTCATCCTTCATCCCCAGTTCTCAACAGAAACTTTCCCCTTCAGCCTTGGGCTGCGCTAAATAGTGCAATAAACTATCCCCATCAATTAACCTTCCAATACTGCATTCAACATCCCTTTTCATAATTATTCTTATTCAATGCGATAGTATGAGCAGTATAGATTAGCCTAAAATAAATAGGAAATAATCAAGTGCTTAAAACTTTATTTTAACCAGCTGAGGGCCCCAAGAGTTGCTTCCTGACACCTCTTCTGTTATCTGCCTTGCTATAGGCACCTTGATTGCAGCATTCCCAGCCTGACCTGGATTTCACTCCTATCCCAGCCTTTCTCCAGTCCAGCTTTCCTCCGAGTTAGAAGAAGATATTACATAGATGATCCCCAAATTAAATATATGCTGAGAATGATTATGCTAACTTCTAGTGATTTTGAAAGATGGGAGTTATATTGCAGTCATTTTAATATATCTTTTTAAGTCATTACATTAGGGAAAATTTCAAACACAGGGCAAGCAAGTAGTATGGCAGACCCAGCCAACTTCAACAGGTGTCAGTATAGCCAATCATGTTTAACCATGGGCCCATGAACAGCCCCTCACTTTCTTGGACTGTTTTCAAGCAAATCCTAGACATCATATCATTTCATGTATTAATTTTTGAAATCTATGCCACTATTACTTTATCTGAATGCAATTTCTTTCTTTGTTTTTAGTCTGCTAAGATGTTCTCTTATGCTGGATGGAAGCAAACCTGTAACACCCTGTTTTTCATCTTCTCTGCCATATTTTTCGTCAGCCGTCTCATTATTTTCCCCTTCTGGTGAGTAGACAAAGTTCCATGCTCTGTGTTTGGTCAGTGTGCTAAGGTGGCCTGGGTGCATTCTTACATCAGAACATTGCCCTTTCTGTCCTTACTTTGATCTCCAGTTATTTGTTCCAAGTTCAGTTGAAGAAAAGAATATTATGAAGTTATTTTTATTTAAAGAACATGAAATTTTTAATAGCTTACAATTTATAAATAATTAAAAACCACACTCCTGTGCAGAGAGGCTTATTACAAAGGGAGATGGAGAGTATGTAACCCAATGTGTGAACAGCAGTTCTTATTCCATGTCTCGGTGAACAGCAATTCTTACTCTGTGTCTTGTTTCATGACTAAGATCTTCCTTTGTGACTAACAGCTTTTCCATTTTTCTCAATGAAAAGTCATTGACCAATCATGGGGTTTCCAGAACAAAGGCATGCTCCATGTTATAGTACTTACAGCCCTTAAGTGCCAGCTGCTACACTAGGTTTTGTACATATCTTGGCTCTATTCTACACAACAAATCTTAAAAGATAGGTAATATCATTCCAACTTCTCACATAAGGAAACTAAAGCTCAATTCATTCTCTGTGAAACAATTTGGTTTTAGAAATAATTGGGGTATCCTTTTGATACTGATTGGCTTTTGATCAGTCTGTTGGTTTTGTTTAGCCATAGACTAGCAGTGAAGGACCTATATTATGTCTCCCATAGCTGTCCTTCCTTTGCAAGCATAATTTCTCATGTCTTGATTGACAGAAACCAGAGTAAACATGTGGGGAAGGTTTGGATGGCTTGAAAGGAACAGCCTTTTTTTTTTAATTTTATTTTTTTAAATGCACGACAGCGGAATGCATTACAATTCTTATTACACATATAAAGTACAATTTTCATATCTTTGTATATAGAGTATGTTCACGCCAATTCATGCCTTTATATATGTACTTTGGTTTTTTGCATTACAATTCTTATTACACATATATACCACAATTTTTCATATCTGTATTTATACATAAAGTATGTTGACACCCAATTCGAGTCTTCATACATGTACTTTGGATAATGATGTCCATCACATTCCACCATTCTTGCTAATCCCCTACCCCCTCCTTTTCCCTTCCACCCCTCTTCCCTATCTAGAGTTCATCTAATCTTCCCATGCTCCCCCTTCCTACCCTACTATGAGTCAGCCTCCTTATATCAGAGAAAACATTCGGCATTTGTTTTTTGGGGGATTGGCTAAATTCACTTAGCATTATCTTCTCCAATGCCATTCATTTACCTGCAAATTTATTTTTCTTTTATTCTAGTAAAATTCCATTGTGTATATATGCCACATTTTTTTATCCATTCATCCACTGAAGGGCATCTAGGTTGGCTCCACAGTTTAGCTACTGTGAATTGTGCTGCTATAAACATTGATGTGGCTGTATCCCAGTAGTATGCTGTTTTTAAGTCCTTTGGGTATAGACCGAGGAGAGAGAGGGATAGTTGGGTCAAATGGTGGTTCCATTCCAAGTTTTCCAAGGAATCTCCATACTGCTTTCCATATTGGCTGTACCAATTTGCAGTCCCACCAGCAGTGTATGAGTGTACCTTTTTCCCCACATCTTCGCCAACACTTATTGTTGTTTGTCTTCATAATAGCTGAAATTCTGACGGAAGTGAGATGATATCTTAGAGTAGTTTTGATTTGCATTTCTCTGATTACTAGAAGGTGATGAGCATTTTTTCATATATTTGTTGATTGATTGTATATTCTCTTCTGAGAAGTGTCTGTTCAGGTCCTTGGCCCATTTGTTGATTGGTTTATTTGTTTTTTCGGTGCTTAACTTTTTGAATTCTTTATATATCCTAGAGATTAGTGTTCTATCTGATGTGTAAGGGGTAAAAATTTGCTCCCAGGACGTAGGCTCTCTATTCACCTCACACATTGTTTCTGTTGCTGAGAAGAAAGTTTTTAGTTTGATTTCATCCCATTTATTGATTCTTGGTTTTAATTCTTGTGCTATAGGAGTCTTATTAAGAAAGTTGGGATCTAATCCCACAAGATGAAGATTAGGGCCTACTTTTTCTTCTATTAGATGCAGAGTCTCTGGTTTAATTCCTAGGTCCTTGATCCATTTTGAGTTAAGTTTTTTGCATGATGAGACATATGGGTTTAATTTCATTTTGTTGCATATGGATTTCCAGTTTTCCCAGCACCATTTTTGAAGATGCTATCTTTTCTCCAATACATGTTTTGGGCACCTTTGTCTAATAATAAGATAATTGTAATTTTGTGGGTTAGTCTCTGGGTCCTCTATTCTGTACTATTGTCTACCAGTCTGTTTTGGTGCCAATACCATGCTGTTTTTGTTACTATTTCTCTGTAGTATAGTTTAAGGTCTAGTATAGCGATGCCACCTGCTTCACTCTTCCTGCTAAGGATTGCTTTAGCTATTCTGGGTCTCTTATTTTTCCAGATGATTTTCATGATTGCTTTTTCTATTTCTATGAGGAATGCCATTGGGATTTTGATTGGAATTGCATTAAATCTGTATAGTGCTTTTGGTAGTATGGTCATTTTGTCAATATTAATTCTGCCTATCTAAGAGAAAGGTAGACCTTTTCATCTTCTGAGGTCTTCTTTGATTTCTCTCTTTAGGGTTCTGTGGTTTTCATTTTATAGATCTTTCACCTTTTTTGTTGATTCCCAAGTATCTTATTTTATTTATTTTTTTTTTTGAGGTTATTGTGAATGGGGTAGTTTTCCTCATTTCCTTCTCAGAGGCTTTGTCACTGATATACAGAAATGCCTTTGATTTATGGGTGTTGATTTTATATCCTGCTATTTTGCTGAATTAATTTACTATTTCTAGAAGTTTTCTGGTGGAGTTTTTTGGGTCTTCTAGGTATAGAATCATATCATGAGCAAATAGTGCTAATTTAAGTTCTTCTTTTCCTATACATATCCCTTTGATTTATTTTGACTGTCTAATTGCTCTGGACAGTGTTTCAAGAACTATGTTGAATAGAAGTGGTGAAAGAGGGCCTCCCTGTCTTGAGGAACAGCCTTTAACCCATCTTAGTGCAGGGCTAATCTGGATACTTCAGATCCCCTCAACAGAAGAATTGGTACTATTGAAGATTCTTGGATCCCAGAAAGATGGATGGAGACTCTGGTTCTAAGCCTCATCCTAGGTGAATGGACAGTACCCTTAATTAACACCCAGGGGGTGTCTGGCCAGAGGCAAGCCTGCTGCATTCTCTCTACCTTGGATAGGTGTCTTGCATTTTCTGGACAGGAGCAGCCCAGTGCAGTGGATGTGACTCAGGCCTGTATTCAGGCCTGTGATCTTGGACAGATTAGGTCATCTCTCAACTCCTCTGTTTTCTTATTTTTAAAATGGAAATAAGGGTTGACACAAGGATTACCAGAAGTAGTACACATAAAATAGTTCTAGTAAAATGTCTGGTACTTAGGCAGCATTTATTGAATCTTTACTATTTATTATTGCTAGAATTATTAATGAGTATTTCAAAATTTGGAGTTTAATCTAGAATCAAATTCAAAATATATGCCTCATACATTCCTTGGTTGATAAATCACATTACTATCACTATTGCTTTGACTGAAAAAGTATGTTTGTGAAATTACAGTGTTGTATGATAGCAATTATTCGTTATCATTATTATTATTACTATCACCATCATCATTGTTATTTTTGCAATACTGGGGATTGAATACAGGTTCTCACTCATGCCAGGCAACCATTGTACCACTGAGCTACAGCCCGGGCATTGGTAGCATTTATTTATGAGATAAACGTTGACTTCCAATTGGAGATAGTTTTTTGGTGTGATTTTTATGGCAGTGTAAGTCCAGCACTTTCCCCACTATGCATCTCATATCCAAAGACACCACACATTCCAGTTGTCTGTGGCTACATAACAAACCATCTGAACATTGGTGGAGAAATTTTTCTCCTGTAAAGGGCTAGAGAGTTAAGATTTTAGGCTTTGAAGGCCATATATCATCTTTGTTCAATATTTTTTTTGTTTTGTTTTGTAACTCTTCAAAAATGCACCAAGCCATTTTTAGCCCACAGGCTGTATAAAAACGTGTTGCAGGCCAGAATTTATCCACAGTCAATAGTTTACAGACCTCTCTCTTAAAACAACAGCATCACAATGGTAATGTTTCAACATTACAACCATCTCTAATGGTTCTTAAAGTTGATTAGCCTTAGCTAGATGGTTTTCAATTAGGTGTCTCATATGGTTACAATCAGATAGTGGCTGGGTGGTTGGGTAGTGGCTAGTGTTGGAATTTTCTTGAAGCCTTCCTCAGACACATATTTGAAGTAGCATCAGCTGGTAGACTCTTTGCTGGCTGAGATCTGAGCTGGAGCTGTAGACTGGAGCTCCTCAGATGACCCCTTCCATGTGGGCTTGGCCTCTTTATAGAAAAGCAGCTGCATTCATGCATGAGCATTATGAGAGAGGTAGGCAGACACTATCCTTCTAGAACTCTGCCTCAGAAGTCTTATCATGTCTCTTCCTACTCCTTGGTCTTGGTTGGAACCAGATCCCTAAGGCCAGCTCATAATCAAAGGAAGGAAACTCTGTTTCTTGATGTAAATTGTTTCCAAGAATTGGCAGACCTGTTTTTAAAAAACACATCATAGAAGCTCTCAGTTCAGAGAACTCTGTGAGAAATTTATATGCTATTGCTTCTGGGTTGGCTTTTAATTTAGCAATGGAGAACATTCATTTCAGATTTTTCCTATGTCTCAAATAAACAAGCCTGTTTGCTTCCATAACAGTCAAACACAGTGGAGGGGTTGACTGTGGAGATAGTGCACTACTTTCCCACACACTTCAACATTAAAAATCCTAGACTTAGGAACTTATTCTCCTGCCAGCATTTCTGAATTTCAAGAAGAATTAGTTACATGCATTTGACACTTTCTTGATCTGAGAACTGAATTCACCAATCCACTACAGAGGGCAGCAAGAACCACTGTTTGCCA